AACTTTGTGTGGATGTGTTTTACACACCTTTAACCGGTTCAGATGAAATGAAGTTCCAGTGACATTCCCGATTTATATAGAGTTTTAAAATTTTGTACCCAAATTATATTAGATAAGTCCTTTCCATGTCTCTCCATTTCTTCTCTAATATATACTTTTCCTCCTTCCCTTCCCTTTCTTCTTTTAAGATTGTCAAATAGAACAAAATCAATCTCAGATTTCTGTCTTCTTTGATTCTTCCTATGACCCTTGATGACATACAGATTCTGAGGGTTTACTTTTATTGTTATTCCTTTACCCCTTAGAATGGAAAGATTTCATCCTCTTAAAGTCTTTTTAGATTGTTCACTTGCATTTATCTTTTTTATTTCTCTTTACTTAGAGGCAGGTGGGTGGTACAGTGGATAGAGCTCTGAGCCTAGAGTCAAGAAGATCTGATTTCACTTCCAATCTCAGACACTTACTAGCCATGTGACCCTGGGCAAGTCACTTAATCTTTGCCTTAGATTTCTCAGTTATAAAATGAAACTAATAATAGCACCAATCTCTGATAATTTTTGTGAGGATCAAACAAAGTAATGTTTATAAAGTGCTTAGCAAAGTGCCTTTCTATCCATCTTTACACCTCTGTTTATATTTGAAAGTTTCCACTAAGCTCTGAGAAATACTTGGAAGTCCTCTATCATTAAAGGTCTGTTCAATGCCTCCCAGCCCACTTGTGCTCAGGTTTTCTGGGTAAGTTATGCATGATTGTAAATCTATTTCTTTTCCCTTTTGCAATATCATAGTCCATGTTCAATCCTCCTTTATGATAGTGGCTATTAAATCCTGTGAGATTCTGACTGTTGTTCCTTAGTACTTAAACTCTATTTCTGATTACTTGCAGTATTTTTCTTGACTTAGAAGTTCCAGATTTTGGCAATGACATTCCTGGAAATTTTCATTTGGAGTATTCTTTAAGGAGGTGATCTATAGATTCAGTTTTCACTTTGCCTTCTTGTTCTAATATCTAGGCAGTATTTTTCATGATTTCTAGAAATATGATATCTAGGCTGTTTCTTTGGTTTTGATTTTCAGGTAACTTAATGATTCTTAAAGCCTAAATCTCTCTTTGATCTTTTTTCTAGGTCACTTTTTTTGGTATCAAATAACTTCTATTTTCTTCTATTTTCTCAATCGTTTTACTTGTTTTAATATTTCTATTTTTCTCATTATTAACTATTATTTAGTCCATTCTTGTTTTCAAAGAATCTGTTTCATGGGGTAGGTGAGGTACCTCTTGTACTAAGATGTTAATTCTCTTTTCAAGTCTTTCCTCCACAGCTCTCATTTCTTTTCCAATCCTTTCCTCTGTCACTCTAATTTCCTTTATGATATCATTTAAAAGTTTTAAAAATTCTTGCTTTATTCCAGGAATGCTCTTGTGGTCAACCAGCATTTTTCTTGTAGGTGTTTAGGAATTATACTCTTCTAGGTTTGTGTCTTAGGCTTCTCTAACCTCACGATAGCCATATATCTTTTTTGTTTTCTTTTGTTTTCTCTTTTTTCCAGGGTTTGGGACTTTGTATTAGAACAGGCTCTTCACACTTCTAGTCCTGCTGCTATTTTCTCTTGGTATTGAGTGCTTTGTTTTCAAAGATCATAGGATTGCCTCAGATGAGGGAACTTGAACCTTTTAGGAGGCACTAAAACAGGGGTGGGGAACTTGCAGCCTCAAGGCCACAAGTGGCCTCCTCTAGGTCCTCAAATACAGCCCTTTGACTGAATCCAAACTTTGCAGAATAAGCCCCCTTAATCAAATGATTTGTCCTGTAAAACTTGGACTCAGTCAAAAGGCTGCACCCAAGGCCCTAGAAGGTCACAAGTGGCCTCAGAGCCACAGGTTCCCCACCTTTACACTAGACCATCAAAACAAAGGCATGGTCTGATCACTTCCCTCCTGGGCATTCCACAGTCCACAATTCATGCTATATTTAGACTGATAGCTTCAAATTTGCTCCTCATTGGCACTCTTGTAGAAAGCAGTTGGCTGCAGCCCCTTTCACTTAGTTAAAGTGAAAGGCTCTTTAATTTCAGGGCAATGCAACTCTCTGATCCAGCTCTTTTCATGGTCCTGGGGCTCAATCCTCAATCCATTCTGGGCAAATGTGCACTGCTCTCTGTTGGGAGTCCTGGGGGCTAAGTTCAAGATTCTGGCCTAAGAGACTGAATCTTGGTGGACTACACCAGGGAATGAATATCAGATCCCAATCTACCCTTGTTCCACAGTTGCTGCCCTGGTGATTTGTGGGCCAAGTTTGTGATCTTGGGCTAGAAGGATGCCACAGTGTGGTTTTTCATTAAATTTCTCGATCACTATTCAGTCTGGTGGTCTTCTCTGAACTTTGTTGAATCTGTGAGGGCTTTGCGCTATACTTCTTCTGCCTGTTCTACCATCTAACTGGTCTCCTGAACCATATCTTTTGAGGACAGTTCTCTGGGAATCTCTGAGAGATTTCTGTCTCACAATTTCTTTGTATCTTTATCCATATTCTCTTCTTTCCTTCCTCTCATCTTTCCTTCATTCTTTTGAAGAGTCACCCCTCCATTTGTACTCTGGATCCATTCCTTCTTAACTCCTATGAGACACTGTTTCGTAACTTGAGCCTATTTTCATATTTATCTTCAATCTCTCCTTTTCAACTGGTTTCTTCCCCACCTGCAAATATGCTCAGGTTTCCTCTGATTCCCCCTCTTCTCCACTGAAACAGGTTTTCCACACCATAATATATTTTTCCTTGGACCTTGCCTCCCACTTAAGCTTTCATATCATTTTTTCTCTGTCATTTTCTGGTTAAACGTTTTTAAGGGGTGAAGTACATTTATTGGTCTATTTCCTTAAAATTCATCCACTCCTACGATCTGGTTCTCATTCTACTTACATACATAAAACTCCTTTTTCAAAAGTTACTAATGGGCTCATCATCTAATTTAGTGTATTATTATAATTATTATATTATATTATTATAACATTATATTATATTTTGTTATGATGTATCATTATAATAATCTAATTCCTCATCTTCCCTGACTACTCTGTAGTTTTGGGTTTGTTTTTTTTAAATATGGCTGTGTCTTTGTGGAAAACCAGAAATTCAGCCTACTTTGAGTGGGGAAATATGGTAATTTCATGTCTTGGATACAGAGCCCTCTAAATTCTAGCTGTGATGATGTCCCAGGGCTAGTGCTGGACTTGCCCTTTGCATGGCACTGTGCTTTGTTGAAATCACAGTCTTTGTGCTTGTTATCATTCTTGCTTGTTCTATTTTCCATGCTTAAGAAAGTTAAGTTTTGGTTAGTAATAGAATGTCTCTCTTATATAAGATTCAAGTGCTTTTTTTTCTTCTGTGGGGAGTGTGCAGGGGGTGGGGGTGGGGCAGAGTTAAACACTGTTTTAAATTTAGGTTCGGAAAAGCCTTTGTTATTCCAAAGATTCAGTATACCTATACAGGCCTTTAAAAATTGGTTTGTATGCTAATGACTCATTTACCTAATGTGCACTGAACATTTTTACATTAATACCGTATTGTTTTAATACTACATGCTTTTCTATGTGAATTGAATAAAGAATGTCATGAGCACTTCTATTCCAGGACCTCCCTCTGTGACCATTCCAGTGTCTCCATCGTTTTAGATAATCTTTCCCCCATCTTTTAAGCATATATAACCTCTAGGTCATAGGTTCCAAGATTTGGAGGTGGAAGAGACCAGAACTGTACCTAGTGCAAATCCCTTATTTTACAGATGACGAAACTAAGGCCTAGAGAACTCTTTAATCCATACTCATTTTTGGGAATGCCATACTCTTCTAAATACCATTTTGGAGACTTTAAGCAATGAATGAGGTTGGAGGGTGGAAAAGTGTAAGATTTACAAGGGGATAAAATGTGGTAGAAACCTCATTTCTGAGGACTGCCTATATCTCTGTGTGTGTGTTTCTTTTTCTTTTTTTTTTTTACCAAAAAAGTATATGCTTTATACTATACTATAAATGACTTTTTCAACACTCTGACTAGCTGAGTCTCCCTTCTTTTGCACATATAGTATTAATTTGTAAAAGTCCCAAGCCAAGTAAATAAAATACTCTTCATTCACAATTAAATATCCTGAAGGATTCTGTAAGAACATTTCAAAATTTCTTATTTTCGGTCATTGTTTGAAATACTTGGTAAACTGCATGTTGATGGCACTGACTTTACTTTTCTCAGAAAAGTTCACTTTTGACATAATTTATCATTCATATTTTAATAGAAAGAATGACCATTTTATATTTTTAAATTTTACTTTATTTTTAATTTATAGAAGAAAATAAGCATTTCCATGACATAGCGCAATAAAAAAGATTGCACATGAAACTGCAAATCTAAAGTACAACTTGCTATTTCTTTCAACTATAAAACAAATTATCATGTAAATTTCTTTTTTTTCCTTTTTTTTCCCCTTCTCTTCCCATCCACCCCGTGCCCTAGAGATGGCTACCATTCAACACAAATAGGCATACATATATGTAAAATCATTCTATACATATTTCTATTTATCAGTTCTTTCTCTGGATGCAGATAGCATCTTTCTTCATATGTCCTTTATAGTTAATTTGGGTATTTATAACAGACAAAATAATCTATTTGCTCAAAGTTGTTCTTAAAACAATATTACTGTACACAATGGGGAAATTGGGACCCAGAAAATAAAGCTTTTCATTGTGAGGATGGAGCTAAGATTGGGCTCTGGGACTCTTCTGGGTGCCTGCTATAGGAATGGGGCAGCATAGAAAGTGTTCCTTAGAATGTCAGTCTTAACCCCAAACCACCCCTTTTCTTCTCCAGGAAGTGTAGGACCAGTTCCAAAACTTGATGATGCCTGTGACTGAGTTGAAGTCCACTTCAGATGAGAAACAAGTGTTATTAAATCTAATTAATTTCTCACAAATTAGTAGTGACTTGGTACTGAAAGTGATCCGTCGACCCAAGTGCATCCTTCTCCACAAATAATTGCACAAGCTCAGGTAAGGATTCCTGGCCTTTGACATTTTATTTATGGATGGGGCCAAAGTAATCCTACTCTTCCTATGGCTTGTGTCTTTCCTTCTCCCATCTTAGAGGCAGCAGAGTCTTGTTCTCATAGAGAAGCTCCCTTTCGACTGCAGCTCTACTTTTCTGCCCTTCATTGCCAACGACTGACGAAGGTCTCCCTTCTGTATTGCCTTCAGCACGCAGCCTTTTCTCTAAATTGTCATAAGGTTATTGGTTAGTACTGAACCATGAGCAAGTTCATACTCAACCTACCTATGAGAGTGGAATATCAATAGGAGAAGGTAAAGTGTAGGGAAAGGGCCTGGGATTGGAGTCAGAAGAACTGAGTTTGAATCTCACTGAGGTTTACTATGTGAACCTGGATCAATCAGTTCATCTTTAGCACCTCAGTTTCCTCCTCTATAAAATGAGGGAGGTAGAGGTAAAGGATAGCAGGGTAAGGGAACCTGCAGCCTTAAGGCCACATGTGGCCTTCTAGGTTCTGGGGTGTGGCCTTTTGGCTGAGTCCAAGTTTTACAGAACAAATCCTTTTATTAAGGGGATTTGTTCTGTGAAGTTTGGATTCAGTCAAAGGGCTGCACTTGAGGACCTAGAGGGTCACAGGTGGCCCTGAGGCTGCAGGTTCCCTACCCCTGGGATAGATAATCACTTTTGGGGAATGAAGTATTCCTTTTTAGTCATAGATTGAAATAAATAACCCCTGAGACCACTTATAAGATTTGGGGTTTAGTGACTTAATGGAATTCAACAAACACATTAAATGCCTACTGTGTGCTGTAGCTACAAAGACAAAAAACCTAACTGTCCTCCAGCTCCTGGACAATCCCAATCCTATTCTATAACTAACTTTGACAGGTGTTTAACCTTTTTCTTCCCAGGCTCCAAACCTGCCTTGTGGGAAATCCTGCCAGGCCCTCCTCACTACTAAAGGCTGCACCAACTTCCCCTTTCAAGAGTACAGTAGATGGGGGCAGCTAGGTGGAGCAGTGGGTAGAGCACCAGCCCTGGAGTCAGGAGGACCTGAGTTCAAATCCGACCTCAGATACACAACACTTACTAGCTGTGTGACACTGGGCAAGTCACTTAACCCCATTGCCTGGTCCAAAGAAAAAAGAAAATGAATACAGTAGATGGGGACAATTAGGTGGAGCAGTGGATAGAGCTCTGGCCTTGGAGTCAGGAGGACCTGAGTTCAAATCTGGCCTCAGACACTTGATACTTACTAACTGTGTGATCCTGGGCAAGTCACTTAACCCCATTGCTTAGCCAAAAGAAAAAAAAGGAGTATAGTAGATGCTGTCATATTTATCATATCAGGGCACACAATTGCATATCTTCCTACTTGGTGCCTAGCACAGTGCCTATGTAGCATTGGCAGAGGTGTCTGCCACACCTCAGGGTTAGTCATCACTTCAGAGGGATGAGAGTGATTCATTCACTCACATTTCTTGAGCACCTCCTAAACTCCTCTGGGCCCCTGCCAGAGTAATCTTTCTTTTATGTTGATCTACTCATGATATTTCTATCCAAAAATCTTGTTCATTACTATCTGATAAAGTTCCAAATTCTCTGCTTGGCCTTTACCGCTATCCAATATCTCGCTCCACCATACCTTATCAACCTGACCTATTGTTATTCCCTTGAAGGAATCCTGTGCTCCAGCCAAACCAGGAAAGCATGGCCTGAGAGCACACAAGGCATTTCCCTGTCTCTGTGGTTGGCTCACTCTATTCCCCTGGCTTGGAGATGTTTGCACTCTCCTTCCCTGCCTTTCTGTTCCTCCCCTGTAAAGGCTCCATGCTGGATATTATGTCTTCTAAGGAGCAGCCTAACTCAGTTTGGGGAGATGCATCAGTAGAGAGTTGACCGCTATTTAATAAATTTTTTGTTTGGCTAAAGTAATAAACTGTCTCTTCAGGTATGGATTGGTTTCATTTGGTTTCAGTGAAGGCAGCTCCCACATGGATAAAATCACTGATCCTGGAAGTAATAATAATAATAATAGTTGACATTGATATAGCACCTCGGGTGAGTTTCCCAATAACCATTGGGACCCTGTAACCGAACTTCCTCTTTTACCCATTTTACAGATGAGAAAATATAAGCAAGGACCAGTGGGGTGGGAGAGAGGGAGATGTTGGTGACTTACCCATGATCAAACCAATTAGTAGTAGGTATGGGCAGTTTTCAAAGCCAAATGTTTCTGACTCCAGATCTAATAAACTTTCTACTTCTAGCTTCTGTGGGAGAAGGATATAGTGGATGAACAGGAGAAGAGAAAGACTTTAAACCAGAGAAGGAGAAGAAAATCTTGTAGGTGATAAGGAGAGATTTGGATAAGTGAAGTAGCTGAAAGGTTGTCTTTGGGGAGATGAAATTGGTCAAAATTAGGAGAAATTGAGGGAATATGAAGGAAAATAATCTCCAGGCCCAGACATTGGTGCAGATTCTATTTCTAGATGGAAAAAGGGGAATGAACTAGGAAAATTAAGGAAGGTATAAAAGAATCAAGGAAGTTGAAGGGGTGTGTAGGAATCGAATCTGAAAAGATACACTGAAGCAGTAGAAGCTGTTCTGAAAAAGATCTGAGGGTTTTAGTGGACTGCAAGCTCAACATGAGTCAAAAGTCTGATGTGGCATCCCAGTAAGCAGCATTTAAAAGAGGCATGGCTTCTTGGAATAGGGAAGTGATAGTTCTACTATTATGCTGTCCTTATCAGAACCCTTGTCAGATAGCATATGGAATACTGTGTTTAATGTTGGAAGCCACGGCTTAAGAAGGACAGTAATAAGTTGGAGAATGTCCTTAGGAGGAGAATGAAGAAGGTAAAGGTCTTTAAGGCTGTCATACGAAGATTGGTTGAAGAAACTGTTTGGGTTGAAAGCCTGAGCCTCTGAATTTCTGATTTGTGCACCTTCACCATAAGTTGTGTGACCCACACCCACCATGTTGCTACTTCCCAATCTTCTTCATGCCCTGCCATTGTTCACATACCCAGCCCCCTGTCCTGCTTTCCACCTTTAGCTCTGGAGCAGTAATCAAATTGGCAGGACTGTTGCTAGAAAGGACATGCCAATTTACCTAAACTCCACTCAGCATCCCTTTAACTTCCCTAATCAAAACAGCTCTCCCTGACCACTGGCCCTATATGGGCTCTGTTTTGGGGGTTAGAATAAACTCTACTTTTCCCAGTTACCCCAGACATCCACCCACTGCAGATAACAGATTACTCTGGGTCCGCTTAGCTCCCTTCCGCCAAATAAATACTTGGCTCTGCTTACTTCAACCTGTAGCTCAAGAAAGCCCTTCCATGCTTTTTTTCTATATTCATCATGTTTCTCTTAGAGTATGGTAACAGATGGTCACTGAGAGTGGGCAAACATTTATTTAAGTAAAGAGTCAATTGGAAATAGGGGAAGGAATACAGATCAGAGAAGATGATAGAATATAACTTGGACTCAGGAGGAAGCTAAGATTTCAGTTCAACCACTGGAGATGTTTGCTCTTGGCAGTCTCTGGAGTAATAGGTACTGGGAGTCAAGAAACATCTTCTTTGGGGTCTGGGAGCCAGCTTTCTCTGCTTGTATGTGGCACTGGGGAGGTATCCTCTCCACCATTCAAAGTTTGCCTCTAGTCTCTCTGAAGTGTATGTCTCAGTTATATGATACCTATAGTCATGCACTCACAGACCTCTGAGTCAATCAGGAAATCTAATCTCCTTACATTTACATCAGAAAACTGTCTTTCCAGGAACTGACCAATCCCCTTCCCCACTCCCCTCTCCACCCCCCACCCTCATACTGGTGTTTTACATAATTTTGAGCTTAAGCATAAACGGAGAATTATGCAAATAAAGCGACTGAACTATCCATATCAGCAGCTAGGTGGTGCCAAATTAAAATCAGCTTCAGACACTTACTAGCTGTATGACTCTGGGCAAGTCAATTAACTTTCTTTGCCTCTGTTTCTTCAGCCATGAAATGGGGATATTATTCACACCGACCTCACAGGATTGTTGTCAGGATCAAAAAAGAGGATATCTGTAAAGTGCCTAGCACAGTGCCTGTCACATAGTAGGCACTACATAAATGCTTATTCCTTCGCCTTCCTACTCTTTGACCCAGAGATTCCATTACTAGATAATGTTCAGGGAAGACTAGTACCCCCCTTGGGTGTCTACCTGTTACCCAATTCTCACCTGTGGCCCCAGGAAGTTGTAGCACGAATAGTAGCCACACCTCAGTAAGTCATTTTGACAGACAGGCTAAACCAGATTGAGAGTAGCCCACAAGCTTTAAACCCATTGATGAGTTGGGGGGATGCCTGCCCCAAGCATGAGAAGAATTTTCCTGGTGGGAATGGGAAGATGAGAAAAATTTGTTCCAATGGCTACAAAGATGGCTCAGCCTTTGGGTGGCCAAGGGGACAGCAAGTTTATTGAAACAGATTTACCATCCTAACTGCAAGAAGCTATTATAGTCACTTCGGGGACCTTTAGAATGGGGCATCAATGGCCACAGAAATATAGAGAGATAAGAAGGGGACTTAGGATAATGGAAATGTAGGCAGCGGCTTTTATGGTTTTCCATCTGGGACTTAGCATTGCACAAAAATGAGGGTTTACTGGGTGTGAGGATTGTACAGTGAAGAAGGTCCTTGATGAAGCTTCTTTTGTCCATTGTCACAACCCTATCTGGACCTTTGGGACAGGGGCTCATTCATACCCAACCTCAATCTCACCTCTAGAGCATTTTATGTTGTCAGTGATTGGTTGTTGGAAACACAAAAGAAAGCTCCATTCCTTTCCTAGACCCAAAAACTGAAATCACTATAAGAGATCTTAGAGACCATGTTGTCCAATCTCTGTCATTTCACAGATAAGGAAATTTTAGAACAACTGTGACTATAACCCAACCACTTTGGAAGAAGTAGGTTTTCCTTTTGCTTACAATGAGAGCCAAGAAGAACTCTAGAGGGAGATAAAATATGTTATCCACAGGAGCAGAAGGCCCACCCATCAATGTTCTCATGAAGAACCCACTAGGTCCAGTTGTGAGTGCAAATGTGTGTGTGTGTGTGTGTGTGTGTGTGTGTGTGTGTGTGTGTGAAAAATGAGTTAAGAGATCTAGTTAATGAGGGCCCAGATGAGAGGCTTTTGCCATCATTGACTGGTCTTAAGAATCTCAGGAT